CTCATTAAAATCTTAATATCTGAACATTTAAATATGTAAACTAAAGTGCAATCACATTCGTAAATGAATGGCTTCTGGTTTTTGAAATGTAAATGACATCATAACTTCTCCTCAGCTGCCAGTTAACCTGGCCAATCTTCGACCCACTTTTCTCCAGATTGTCGCTACGTTTCTCCATTTTCTGTTATCTCTTCTATTATTTTCTTCTCTTTTCCTTCTTACCGCTATTTTTTATTTTTCTTCTTCGTGCTACCGCTATTTTTATTTTTATTCTTCGTGACAGGGGTTCACTTTGGCCTGGGGAGTCAAGTTCAGCATTCGCTTCATTGGTATCTGGCGCCATCTAGCGTCGTGAATGGGTATAATGTCTAGACCCCGAATATAAGACGACCCCCACTTTTTCAGTCTTATTTCAATGCAAAAAACACCGTCTGATATTCGGGCCAATACGGTATATTCACAAGATGTGCTCAGTGCCCTAAATCCACAGTCTGATAAGCTAAATGTCACTTCTCAAAAGACCGGAGTCACTTTAGAACTTCTCCTGGACACCCGCTGTTCGAAGGAGGCACCTCGGAGCCCCCCTGTTCCCGAATCACAGGTATTGCAGCATCCCCGAAGGGACTTAATAGACTTAAAGCACCGAGCAGCCATGAAACAAAATCTCCGGGGGCTTTAGCTTAGAAGTAGAAAAAGAAGACATGGAGCCTTGCTAGGAGAGTAGCGAAGAGAAAATCTATAGCGTAGGCAAACAAAGGAGAGAGGAGGACAATACATTAAGGAAAAAAAATGGACGGAGTTGAGAAAAAGGAGGTAGCAAGAAGAGACGAAGAATGAAGAGCCGTGCGCCACCAATGAAAATCCGCCGGAGACATCCATAAAGATCGTTTTGAAAGCCGGCCAGAAGCAACATGGACATGCGCTGTAGAGACCTGAGAGTACAAAAGCAGAAGTTGAGGTCAAGAGGGTCTTTGACGGTGGGGGAGAATGTATTGAAGTGTTTTGGTATGAAGATAGCGCCGATGATTTCTTGGTGAAAAGTGATTAAATCAGATTCTGTAGTTTCTTTGTGTGTGTAGTGTTGTACAACAAATATTTGACATTATATCTGAAATTCTAAATTGTTCAGTGGTGTAACCGTTTGCATGATCCATTGAGACCCCCCCCCCCCCCCCCACCCCCCAACCCACACACCCCACTAAACAACCCACCACCAACACCCCAAAACAA